CCATGTGTTCGGATGACACGAGTCGCTTTCATAGTGTGCCACTCCGGCGTGCCCGCCAACTTCGGTTACACTCGACTTCTTTCGACATCCCAAACACACGGAYATGGAAAACTTTCATTGTGTGCAATCCCAGTGGCACAGGGAGAGGGTAAGATTTACCCATGATCTGACAGCACTGGAGATGAGTATTCTTTTGAGTATATGGTTTTGGTATTGGTAAATACGTTTGTTGACATCAAGCGAAATTGAATTATTTATTGATAATTGTATTAAATTTCATTAAAAAAATTATTTGATAGTTGATGTTAGTACTTAATTTTTCTATTTTTAACATTAAAAGATAGATTAAACTACAAAATACTATTCAGTGATTGATTTATAAACACGGATAACCTCTCTATTTGGAACGTTTCAGTAATGATTTAATATTACTCTGAAAAATAGATAATTTGTTTAAATTATAAAAATACTGGATTTGTTTAGTAATATATATTAAATATATATTGAATAACATATTACAAATAAAAGCTTAATAACTCTTATTTTTATTTTAAAACAGATGAAAAGTATGCCAGTAAAAAAGGAAGACAACAACAAAAGATYAGTCGCTGCTAAAAGCAAAATGGTATTATATTCTTATTTTGAAACATGAATTATTTATGTTTATATTTTATAAATATGTAAATTAATTATAAATTGAAAAATAATAATTGTATCTTTTTTAAAAGTATGAAAGTGGAATAAAATCTGTTGACGAAGAGACCATTATGTCTTTGCTTGCTCAAATAGAGAGAATGAATGCAATTTTAAGAGAATATAAATCGTATTCAGCAGCTTCAGAATATTTAAGCAAATACAATGTTTCATAATCATGAACTTAAAATTAAACATGGTAAAAATTGTATATATTAAAAAAAAAAAGTAATGAACTGCACATAGCATAAGTGAGTAGTTAGAATTGTACATTTGAAATAAAATAAATTTGTATCATTTATATTAATATATCTATATTTATTTATTCATTTGTTTCGTTGTAAAAATATAAAATTATAAATAATAAAATTAACATCATTATTAACAATGCACAATATATGTGCAGTAAATGCATAAATTAAATGTTTAAAACTCTTTATTTCATAGTCGCAGATCCATACACTTTGGTATGACGTTTGCAGTTCTCATAATAATTTTTCACGCAATACGAACGAACATTGAAAAAATGTTTAATTATTTTGTACTTAACACAGCAACAATTTGGAAAATCAATGTTGATTTTCTCAAATAATACTTTTAATAAATCACAGTTACTATCTCTTATTATCACATCTTGGTACAAAGTGAAATAATGTTCACAATGTAAAATTAAACTATAAGTTTCCATACATGGTTCCTTTAAACCACCTTTGTTTAACCCTTTGGCGTAATACTTTGCTTTTTTTATAAAATCTATGTCTGGCAAATTTGAAGATGTCAAAAATTGCACACAATTTCCACAAACACGTTTGGCTACAGCATTGGTTGTACTGCCAGCTAAATAAAAGATGCTATTTGCATCACAACGAGAAATCCAATTGCTAAACTCATCAATTAAAAATGTTTGCACACAAAACTGAGTATCACTTGTTTGTAGCTTTTTTGCTGAAGGTTCAACAGTCTTATTTGCAGCCAATACTGGATGGTTATCAGCTTTCCTTTTCCTTGCACAATAATCAAGTAAAAATTGATCTGAATCATTCATATAACTGGTTCGTTTGCAATCAGATACAAACTGTGAAACAGTGATTCCTTTTATAGCTCGTATACATTTTAAAGCAGAGGACATTTTACCTTCTTTTTTCCTAATCTGTGAAAAAATATTTTCTGTTCCATCTTGAGTGAAACGATTTCCCAATATAAAGTCATATCCATTTGCAAATAAATATTCAGCAATATCACAAAATGACAAAGTGGCAAGAACAAAACCGTAATTCACTGGCTTCCATCCTTCTTGAAAAACAGTATTTTGGAAAAGATCTATCACTGAGTGTAGAAATATATATTTTTTATCACAGTTTCTTGCAGTGATAGAAGCTTTTCGTACTTTAGATGCTGTAATGCCAAACCACTTTTCTATTATTAAAATAAATTTTGCTGTTGTTACGGCTTCTTCGGGTAGAATTTTCATCTCTACTGCAGTTTGTAGTGCATTCGCAGTTTTAAGCAAAAAAAAAAAAACGAACCGCTGCACCTACATTCATTTTATCAAAATATGATGGCTCAATGTCCTCTCTTTTAAGATGGTGTAATAATCGTCTTGCTCCAACATTTGATACTTCATAATTCCATAAATTAACTATGTGCGAACCATCAACTACATTTGTTGATAAGCTTTCCATTTCAACAAATTCAGCTGGCAGATACACTAGCTGTCTTAAAACAGCTGATTTTTAATTTTTTAATAGATGGCAAGCATCTGGCGATACATAAATTGCATGCTCACTGTAATTAAATGAATTAACTATCTTGCCATTTTTCGTTGCAGTTATTTTCAAATATGTCCAAAAAGATCTGTTTCTGCCGTCCAAATCTGAGGAAAGTGAAAGAACGCAAAGTCCACATTTTTCTACATTGGAAATACAATCTAGAATAAAATTTTTTACTTGAACTGGATCTACGGATTCTTTACGAGTAACGTGGCAAGCAATCACTTGTTTCCATTTATATTTTATACCTCTAATAACCACCACAAATATTTTTTGTCCCAATAGAGATTTATTGGCTCCCAGTGTAGCATGACCAGAAAATTTCCCTGAAATTTTGTCATAATCAAGCTGTTCGCTAATGCACATCTCATCATAAGATAGTACACAAAATTTATCAGTTGTATCCATAGTTTCGACTTTGAAATGTAATAACTGTAAAACATTTTCAAATATTCCAGAATTCAATTTCATGTCATGAATTTTTCTCATTATTGTGCTATACGATGGCAGTGGATAACCACTATTCCTCAAAAAATTAAGACCATGAACTGAAAGAGCTAATTTAAATTTGAGATCTTTAACCCTTTCGCTACGGGACGGATCTCCGCCGAGGTACTCCCGCAGTACGGCGCGCTACACCGAAACAGTGCACGGTG